GCTGCCATGTGCCAACCGGAATCAGCTGAGTCTTACACTGATTGAGTCTCAATAAGTTACATGACATCCATTTTCCAACCTCCGCTAAGCATTTGGCATGTTTATCAACCTCAGCCTTGAAAAAACCAGGATGGCCAGTCACTAAAATTTGAATATCATCCGCAAATGCATGGCAGGCAAATTCATGAGAATTGATAATTTTAAATACATCTGATGTATATAATATAAACAGAATAAGTCCGAGAACAGATCCTTGAAGTACCCCTGATTTGACCATTTTGACATCAGACAGCACATTATTGAACAAGATCTGCTCTGTTCGATCCGTCAAATATGACTCAAAGCACGCAAAAACAGTGTCATTCAATCCGTAATTGTACCGCAACATCTTCAAAAGTATACCATGGTTGACACAGTCGAACGCTGACGACATATCCAGGAACGACAGTAATGAAATATTTTGAACATCCATTGTTGAAAACAAGTTTGATAAAACCTGATGTAACGTTGTCTCAGTTGAGTATATATATAATTATATATATTAGGGTGGTCACAATATATTTTTTTCAAAATCTTATCGGAGGAACCCCCTAAATTGTGCCACTTGACTAAAAAATGACATTTGTAAAGTTTTAGCTCAATTGGATAATGCTAACCCGTGCCTCATCGAGGTTGTAATTTCGAAAAATTGGAAAATTTTGAAAAAAACGCAGTTTTTGGTTTGTAAAATAAAAACGGTTCACTCTAGAAACATGATTTTGGTTTTATTTTGTTCATTGATTAGTTTTCTTCAAATGTTACTATGATCACTATTTAGCTACAAGTTATAGTTTCTGACATATTTGCATTGTTACAGATACACATTAAAAAAACGTTGAATTTCTCCATAACACAAAAACACACAATAACTTATTGACTATTACTAACCCGGGTGCTCTATGTTTTTTTATGTATTAATATTAAGATCTTTTGGTTTTTCTACGATTTCTCATTTTTGGTAAGGAGCAGTTGTACATTGGGATGGGAAATTACTTCCAGATATGTTAAATAAAGAAAATGTTGAAAGAGTTGCAGTCTTAATTAGCTGTGAAGAAGAAGAATAGTTAATTGGAGTTCCCCAATTAGAGAATGGTGCTGGCAGTACAATTGCAAAATCTGTTTATTCAGAACTTGGAAAGTGAGGTGCACTTGACAAGATTCAAGCAATGTCCTTTGACACAACTGCCGTGAATATTGGCCGCATTAAAGGTGCTTGCGTTTTATTAGAGCAATTAATGGAGAAAAAATTATTGTATCTTTCATGTCGCCACCACATTTTGAGGTAGTTTTGAGATCCGTTTTTGATGCTGTGATGGGAAAGACTACAGGCCCTCAATCGGATATTTTCAAAAAATTTAAAACTGAATGGAACAACATTGATAAAAAAAATTAAATCTGAAGTTAAAGATAAGGGTGTAGCCAGCAAATTGATTAATCCGGGTCAAATTTCAAGTTATCTTCTAGAACAATTAACAGTTCATCATCCAAGGAGCGATTACAAAGAATTGATTAATCTTTGTCTTATATTTTTAGAACGCTTTCCGTCAGAAAACATCGTGTTTGCGGCTCCTGGTGCTTTTCATCACGCAAGGTGGATGGCAAAAGCGAAATATTCGTTTAAAATATACCTTTTCAGAGAACAGTTTCAACTGACAATTTTTGAAAAGCAAGGATTCCATGATATTTGCCTATTTATTATAAATATTTATGTGAAAGTGTGGTTGGATGCCCCGAAACCTGCACTTGCTCCAAACCAAGATTTACAATTGTTAAAATCTTTGGTAAATTACAATAGTCAATAAATTTATCTCAGATATATCAGTTTCAAAATTTATCAACCACATATAGTACCTCAATCCAGAGCAGGCTGTTTTTTCATTATTCGATGATTCATTAAGTAATTGTGTAAAAAAGAGAATGGTAACAAAATTAATATCTCAAGCAAATGAGGATGAAGAACTTGATGACTACTGTGATATGAAACCACTAATAAAAATAAATGAAGTATCAGAAATATTGGACAAAAATGCGTTTTTTTCAAAATTTTCCAATTTTTCGAAATTTAAACCTCGATGAGGCACGGGTTAGCATTATCCAATTGAGCTAAAACTTTACAAATGTCATTTTTTAGTCAAGTGGCACAATTTAGGGGGTTCCACCGATAAGATTTCGAAATTTTTTTTTTACATATAGCGTTGTAACCACCCTAATATATATTCATGACTAGACCGGACTTGGGTGAACCTGGTTTTTTTAAAGGGCGTCAACAACATGGATATATATATATATATATATCCATGGCAAAAAATGTGCGAGGGTGCGTTCGAGGGCAAGTATAGGTATTAAAAGTTTATCCTTTATCCTTTTAATAAATGGGGATGCAGGTTATTCTATGCTTATAATTAAACCTTCGTGCCCCAAAGGCTGTGCTAACCACCCACCCACACACGCACACACACATTGTGCATGCATGCGCAAGCATCGCATCATACGCGTCTGATAATTGTTGAGTTTCAGACAAACAGTATTCGAACCATTCATCGCGTACTAGCAGTGCTAGAAATGGCATTCTACCATGGATATAATATCAGAGCTTATTCACTAACCATTAATTTAATTAATTAAACCATTAAATATTAATTAGAAATTAATTATTCATTATTTATTAAAAGTTTGGTAATTATATTATTATATTGTTGTATTTATTTGTCTTATAAAATAAAAGTTATGAGAAACGTTGTGTGTTATACAGTCTTTGTTTCTAAAAGTTACTAAGTAGAAAGATTAAGAATATTAAATTTTGACTCGTTTGAATTTTCTGGCAGTTTCAAAATTTGCCGCTGAAAGAACGTTTCAAGGATGAAAACTTTCGAGCCGGACGAGCTAGTCACGTGCCCTTACTGCCAGCCACCAAAAACCCACCAAATTCGCTTCAAAAGGTTGAATACTCATCTGAAGGATATGAAGATAGTATGTTTTTTACTAATTTTGTTGGTTGTTGCTAGTCAAAATGGTATTTAAATTTGATATCACTATCTAATCAACGTGCCTGTGTATTCTTCTTATATAATAACCTGTATAACATAACTTAAGATGCCACACTACACAACCTAATCTAAAACTAAATATACTTTGAAATAATAGTTGACACTGGAGCAAGAGCCACTGAAGTGCAATATTCAATATTAATATTAATACACTAACACTTCAAGTAATTTTTAAAATACACTCAAGTTGTTTCATAGAAAAATTGAGTTGCTTTACCTTCACTGCTTACTCAAGTCATAGATAATTCATGCTAACCATTTTTAATTATTTATATTTAATATTCAAATTTTGAGTTGTCTATATTATATATATTTTACAATGAATAAGTCATTACGTCATTTACTGTAATACTCTATCAGTCTACCTATACTATAAAAGTTGGATTAGGAAATGTACACAGTGTATGCTACAATGTATGATTCCCATCATCTCTTGCAAAGGCACCAAACTTTATGTTTATTAATTATTTTAACTGTTATTAGACAAACTTGCAAATAAATAGTTGAGTGACTTTTGTCCAATTCACTTGCTTTTGCTAAGATGTTAAGAGTATAATGTTTCATTTTTTGTAAACATTCACTTTTAACAATTGATTGTGTACATAAGGATGAGGTTGTGAAAAAAAAAATCAAATGTGAAGGAGCTTTCCTTTTTCTAATTTATTTCTCGTATTTTTGGCATCAATAACTTAAGGTGAAAGTTAAGATTTGTTTAAAAAAACTTTAATCTTCAAATTTATTATATTGATTAATAAATAAAATGCATATAAATTTGTAAATACTCAATAAATTCAGTTCATTAAATCATATTCAGCATGTGATAATTGTATCCTACTTTTTTTTAACCTGATTGCATGATCGTTTGCTCACAATTGTGCCATCCTACCACAAATTATTGTTAAACTGATTGTGACCTTCACCAAAGCTCTATCATTTAATTTGCCGCCATCTAGAAAACAGAAAAAATTGTCACAGCCAGTCTCAAATGTTAAAATCATTTTTTCTATAAAAATCACAGCAAGATCCTAGCTTGGCCCGAATGAAAACTTGCAGATTCTATGCGCTACATGTCTATGATAAAGATTTAATTGATGCGCATTATCTGCAGTGCAAATATGCAGTTAAGCAAGTGGCTGTGGAAGAAGAAGGTATTTATCATATTGTTCACAAATTTATATATCTTTTTTTCGGGCTTGTACATTGTCTGATTAATTTAGTTGAATAATCAAAGAAATAAACAAATGTGTGATAGCCTGATAAATAAGTGATAATGACATTTTAAAAATCTTATGTTAAATGAGCACATTTATGTATGAAAATGTTTAGTTGCCTGTGACAATTTTCAGTATTTATCTATCCTTTCTTGGTTCTTATAACTTACACTACTTTATTTTATTTTTAACAAAGTTTACAAGATGATTCTATCAATTTTATCTATTTATTTATATCTATTGTACAAAAATTAAGTTATTTATAAAGACTTTTTGCAAATGTTGGAATTAAAAAGCTAGTCTCGCAAGATCTTTGAAACATTGACATGTGGGTTTTCTTGTCCAAAGGCAATAGCATTTTTAAAATTATTCAAAATTCAAGTGAATGATCAGTCAGAAGTAGCTGATGCGGTTCATCCTAATATTCACGACGGTGAAAGCTGGGACTTCGTCGACAGTAATTTTTTATTATTACACAACAGATGTTATCAATTAATATTATTTTCATTGTTTTATCTAGTTTTTCTACAATGAGAACTCTACTTTCACATGATCAAATTGATAAACCTCTTTTTTTGATTCATTTATTTTATATCAATTGAATTCACTCACATAATAATTTTATAATTATAATGAAATTACTGGAAGTACTTGATACTCCATACGAAGTGTTTAAAATATTTTCAGATGCACCACGCTTCCGCCTCAAAGATGAAATTCAACGCTCACATAAGCCAAGAGGAGAAAATGCTGCCACTGGGCAACAGGGCATAGATGATATCAACAAACCATTTGTGCCAGTTGGAATGAGCTACCCAACTTCTATGACTGAAAATAAGGATAAAAATTCAAAACAAAATCAAGTCAGAAAAGTTTCAGAAACCAAAGGTTTTGGCATAAAAGACCTAAACTTTCATCCTTAAGAATCATTAAGTACATCTTTTTAAATTATGCCATGTAACGTGAAAATTGATATATATATATATATATATACATACATGTAAATACATATAACAGCGTTTCGAAAAAGCTAATTGTGCTTTTGACATTGCATAAGTTTCTATTTACATTAATATTTTTAACCTTCTTGTGTTGCACAAGATTTTAAATGCATTATTTTAAGCTGTGATGTGCAATGGTCATCATCACAATTTTTAGAGATATCCGATCGATATTGAACTGTTCTATAGTTGCATTTCTATTATATACATTGGTTTTTATCTGATACGACAGTAAATTTTTTGCATTCTAGAAAATTCCTCGCTTATTTTTTATTCTGTTATTTATCAAAGCCGCAACTTGAAGCACTTATGTGAGATCATATCAGATGTTCGTGGAACTTGAAAAAACGTTTAGAATAAAATTTAATCAACGTGATTTGAATCAGTTAATGCGTGAATAATTGTAATCATCAAACAACGAAATTAAAAAGTGTTGATAGCAATAGTCAGAAATGTTTAATCGTCTAACAAAAAGAGTAGATTCTTTGACTCCATCAGTGTTCATCATAATATTTCAAAGTCTTCTTCGTATTTTAGTTGTTCGAAATCTTGAATGAAACGCAAATTTGTGTTTCAAATTGATTGATTATGTGACAGTTGTATAATAATTTTTCTTAGGATACAACCACAGTTGTACCTCGGTATACGAACAATGAGGAATTACCTATTCGGATCATGTTAATTAAATGGTTCGGATAAAAAATTTTGCCAGTTGCATAGCACAAACATAAATTCAGTTTACACTTTGCAAGTCTTTTAGACAAGTTTTTAATACAAGCAAAAATCAGTTAAAACTAGGGATGCACCGGATTTAAGTTTTCCAAGTCCGACCGGGGCTGGATTTAAAATTCAAAAACCGGCCGGGGCCGGATTTTAGTTACCATTTTACATACGTTAAAAAAAACTCACATTTACAGTTATCTACATGTTGAACATCAAAAAATAAAACCAAGCAAATAGTTAATTAATTCAAATATATAAACAATGTGTGATATGCCAAATTCTGTACACAAAGATCAGCTTATAATTTATGCATGACTCGTGTTATAGCATAAAGAAAATTGTCCAGCTCACCTCACAATTAGTGATGTTGTTATTATGTGTCATGTATGCACGTGCACAGCTTATAATTTATGCAAAACTTGTTATAGCACAAAGAATAGAAAATAGAAAATAACAACAACCACGTCATCCATCCTCTACTACCACCAATCAAAACTACAACACACAACCTTCGTCAGCGAAAACATAACTATCAAGTCGTCGCCCAATCTACATACCAGGAAAAGACCTTCATCACAAGACACCTCAGACATTTTAGCACTTAAGAGAACTTCATTATTACTGAACTAGTTTTTACTTATTGATCATCTCACTTTTATCGATCAGCTCACTAAGTCATCATTTAGTCTATTAATAAGTCATCAAATATATTAATACTCATTAAACTTTTTCACACACAGGCCTAGCCTTTATTTATCGATCACCTCACTAAGTCATCATCTAGTCTATCAATTTGCCGTTACTCCATTTTATATTCCATCGTCAATTAAATTTTCTTTTATTTGTCTTATTATTATTATTTATTTTATTCTAACATATTTTATTTTTCATGTTTTATCATTTCTCTTTCTCACTTTTTGTATTTATTTTCTCACTTATTTGTTTAATTTTGTTTCACTGCCTTGCATGTGT